AGACAAATATAGTAATAACTCTGCCAGAGTAAATCCTGCATCTGTGGATCTGAAATGCATTAAATCATTCATATAATATCAAATGACACCCAAATACAGGTTTAATGGATTTTTTTGCATTAAGATACTTTGCTCATCCTTCTATTCCACAGTAAATGAAGTAGATCTCTTTCCACAGACCTAACTTTATCTCCACTGAACAAAAATATAAATGCAACATGTAAAGTGTTGGTCCCATGTTTCATGAGCAGAAATAATAAATCACAGAAATGTTCTATATGCACAAAAAGCTTATTTCTCTCAAATTGTGTACACACATTTTTATATCCCTATTAGTGAGCATTTCTCCTTTGCCAAGATAATCCATCCACCTGACAGGTGTGGCATATCAAGAAGCTGATTAAACAGCATGATCATTACACAGGTGCACCTTGAGCTGGGGACAATAAAAGGCCACTTTAAAATGTGCAGTTTTGTCAAACAACACAATGCCACAGATGTCTCAGGTTTTGAGGGAGCGTGCAATTGGCACTCTGACTACAGGAATCTCCACCATAGCTTTTGCCAGAGAATTGAACGTTCATTTCTCTAACATAAACTGCCTCCAAAGTCGTTTTACAGAATTTGGCAGTAGGTCCAACCGGCCTCACAACCGCAGACCACGTGTAACCATGCCAGCCCAGGACCTCCACATCCGGCTTCTTCACCTGTGGGATCGTCTGAGGGGGGTGGGGGGGGGTGCTGAGGAGTATTTCTGTCATTAATAAAGCCCTTTTGTGGGGAAAAACTGATTGGCTGGGGCTGGCTCCCCAGTTGGTGGGCCAATGCCCTCCCAGGCCCACCCATGGCTGCACACCTGCCCAGTCGTGTGAAATCCATAGATTAGGGCCCAATGAATTCATTTCAATTGACTGATTTCCTTATATGAACTGTAATGCACTAAAATATTTGAAATTGTTGCATGTTGCGTTTACATTTTTGTTCAGTATATTTTTCCTAGCAGACTGTGGATTGCAGATAGATGGACCAATGGTCAGTCTTTCTCAGTGATAACCAGAGAGAAGCAGAAGAGACAATTGTCCACCTTTTAAAATTCATGGTCTGCACTGTCTTGATATTGTACACAAGGTAACAAAGCCATTACATCAGCACCCCTGAAAATGAACACATAAGCACCTGAATAAGTCTTACATAGGGAGTGGATTCGTAAGGTAATATTCTCTTTTAAGGTCAGTTTGAATTGTTTTTCCTCATGGGAAACTGTGGATTGATAAAGACCAAACAAAACCCCTTTTCTGAATGCTTGTCCTCCATGGCCTCAATGACGGTTTCATTCCTTTATGTCATCCAGCCCAATTCCCAGCATGCACAGCCATTGTGACTCTTTCAACTGGAGCTCTCCATTCACTGGCTCATTGTCCAGCCAGGCTTTTGTGTGGCGCTATCACCAGAGCACAATCTTTCACCTGAACACCGTAGGAACATCATAGTGAAACGGCCAGGTATAGCATCTGAGGCACCCACGTCTGAGAGGAATAAAGCAATGGTAGAGAGAAAATATCTACAATAAACAGGCGCTATTTCAGTAATAGCAAATAAAATTGTCAGTCTGTAAACATTGATTAGAGACATTCAACACTACCTTCTTATGTGTGTGATGAAGTGGCAGTATTTAAAAAATATAACAATATGCAAGCAGATGTTTGAAGCTTGGGCCCCTCGGCAACACAAGGCTAGTTAAGATCGATATTGCTTTCAATATTTCTCTCCTTTGACAGATGACCACTACTGAGGAAAGTCTTGATAAGAGTAGCAACATATGGATGTGGTGAGCATTGGCCTCCTTTGATTGCATAACCTGTTGACCCCAGCCTGTGTTGGAGAGCGTGGTGGCCACATGGTCCGGGTGTCTATCAGGCTCTGGTTATGGGGCGTTATTGACTCAGGATTTATAAATATTTAATGCACACATTAAGATCATGGTGGAGGGCGGCCATTAGAGTTCTGCAATAAACAGGCTCTCACCACGATTGACTGCTGTAGCTATAGGTTGGCTTTTGGCACAGAGAGAGCCTGGTGTGATTTCCTAGCACTCGTATATTCCTGCCTGGCATTACTTGGCATGCACCAAAATACTTGCCTACTATGTTTGTTATCCTACTATTAAAGGTCTCAGATGCACATATAAATCATTGTTCATTGATAGACAATGCATAACATGTGATTTATGCTTAGACTAGAAATGATTAGAAGTGTTTATATGGAGTACATTGATTCAGGTTTTCCTTTCACTAGGTTTTATTGAAAAAAGCACTGAGCGAGAAAACAGATCTAAAACTGTGTCGATCTAAAACAGATAATGCTACGTCAGGAAGCAGGAATGTGACTATTGTTATCAGACACTGAATATATTATCGAGGGAATGTTTTGATGCACACAGCAATCAAAGTTGAAAATGGAATCGTTCTCTGGTGTATCTGACCTCACACTATCAGCATCACCTACATTATCTTATGTGTCATGAGATCTATGCACACCGTTGCCATAATAAGCTGTGATTCGTTGATTCCTGTTCAACTTGCATTCGCTTAATTGTGCATTATAGGGAGGGATGGTCATAGGCACTGTTGCCTTGATGAGAAATTGACATTTTGTGACCTGGTCTCCAGGACCACTCAGAAAGCCAGATAAGATGTTTAGTTGTTTTAAAGGAGAGGTGCTATTCTTCCCCGTTGCTTCTCTATCTCTCCGTTTGACCTACTTGATGAGTATAGATTTCACAGGGCCCCCTTTCATTGCTCAAACTATGAGTTCCAAAACAATACCAACCCCTTATAGACAAAAGATAACCTTGCTCTTTCAATGCATTGATTCTTTATTAACTAGGCGGCCTAATGCAATGAAATGAGGGATTTGAATGGGGCCTCTTTAGGGTGCTTTGAATAAAAAGCTCACACATGAAAGGCTACAACGCATTTAACAGGCCATTTTAAAGCACGGCTGTAGTTAGAGATGCAGATATAAAGATCAATATGAATGTGCCTCAAAGTCAGATTGCTGGGCCAATATAACAGAACAGAACTGTTTTGACTATTTAGGAGAGAGTAGAATCAAGTTTAAAAATAAATATTTTTTTAAATGTTGCAACCTGTTTCTGAATCTAAATGGCTAGAAACCCCCATGGAGAGAGTGGGCTCTTACAGGGGCAATCATGAACAAAAGTGTTCTGTGTATTTTATCAATGTCATATTTCAGGTAAAGATAACAATTGAAGCAATCCACAGGCATCAGCAAGTTTTTGTAGTTTTTTACTCCAAATTTTTTATAAAACATCACTTATTAATTTCTGTTTTCATTCCACATTTTTTACATTTTGAATTTTTGTTCCCTGTAAACACATTTAAGCTATGGGGCAGAGTCATAAGTTGTGAGTAAAAATGACTTGTATACATTCTACAAAACAGAAAGAAAATACAACCACAAATGGAGTTCCTTCCTCCAAGGTTGTCCTTCATGCACATTGTTTCTATTGTATCTTAACAACTATCATATGGGTCACAAACGATTTATTTGACAATACAACCAACAAAGTTTTTCTCTGTATAGATATTTTAAAATCAATATAAAAATAAACAATGAAGTTTGACTTCCCTTTAAAAAATGGACAGAGAGTCTTGACAGAGTAACAAAACTTTGAAGATATGTGAAATATATGGACATTGCATTTTATCAAATACAAAAAAATCATGAACGCAACAGTTCTTGGCTGAAATTCTCTGTGCTGCATCACTATTAAGGGCATGACGATTAATACATACATAATGAAAAGCAATATACAAAATTTCAGAGATAAATACAATATTTATAGTTGATATGTTACAAAATGTCCCTCAAGTGAGCGCAAGTGTGTATTGGAATGGAAATATGACAATGAACTACTTTCGATTTTAGAAGGAGTTAAAATTTGCTTTAAATGTTGTTGTAGATCTAAAAGAACATGGAAAAAAGACAGATGTATAAATATTTAGCACAATTTTGGCAATATCACAATAGTCTACAAGTTTATAACCACATATAAAACACATAACGGGATTTGGAGCTAGAAGGAAGAGGATGGCGCTCGTCAACAAGAAACATACTTCACAGTAGCCTAGGAATGCATTAATATACAGTGCTAGCAAAAAACGTTTTAAAAAACATGGCAAAACACACTTGCTTAAAAGGAAGCTCTAGACATGGAACAGAGCCAGGCGTTCTACGTACGCCAGTGTACTTGTAGAATTCAAGATAATTTTCACTTTCGAATATGAATTTCTAGCTACAATAAATTACAAATTTCATTTAAGATGTATGATTGAAACATTATACAATCTTACCCAGCCCCACCCATTTACTTGCATTTGATGTATTTTATGATTGATTCCTACATTATATATTTCATATATTTTCCAGTTGAAAATCTTAAACCTTCTTGGCCCCACTGTATTTTCTCACACATAAAAATACAAAAGGTCACATTATAAGACGCACAATTGTGAATCTATTGAAAGAGAGTTAAAACAAAAAACAATTTCTGAGGCAAACAAGTTCATAGGTAAATGTACATCAGTGTTTACATTAAAACAAAATGGTGAGTCCACAGAGTTCCTTCCCATATGGTTCACTGGACATAGCCAAAGCCAAAGTTCCACCCGATAGGTATACAAAATAAACACCCCATCGTCCTTTGTCTTCTTCGAGGTTGATCAAATGGAAAAATATAAGCAAAAAAAATCTAAAATCATTGAGTTCTTAATGAAATGCTTTGTCCACATGTTCAAATCTTAACTCTTGAAATACAGTCTTTTAAAAGAAAATCATGTTTTTATCTTCATTAAAAACAGAATAAGCTGTTGACTATATCCTCAGTATTATAGATTACACCAGTGTCTTTGCTGTGTGATAAAGGGGTGTCCTGTAGCGTGCTGAGTAGACTGGTGCTTGAGACGATGAAAGTGCATTTACATTGGAGGTACAACCAGACCGGACATAGCTGGAAAAAAAGAGAGTGAAAGAGAAATTGCATTAAGCACATTCATCTTATCCAATGTATTCAATTGGATAAGCAAAACATTTAGCTATTTACATCAAAGAACTTTAAAAATACGTTATGTTATGATGTTGTGAGACTCTGTGTGTATGAGTGTGTGCATGTGTGCCTGTGTGATGCATGTGTGTGTCTGTGTGGTGTGTCTGTACATGTATGAGTGCACACCTCTCTAACAGGACAGTTTCAAAAGCCTCCCTCTTGCTCTGACATTTCAGGCCCCAGCAGGCCAGCGTGGCTATGTGTGATATTCCTCCTGGTGTTGAGGTAATGGCAAACAGTGAACCAGACTCCCAGGAGAGACGGCCCTGCCGACCGTGGAACAACAACACGGCCACTACCCACAATGCTGTGCTTCAACCCCCTCCCTCGTCACTCAAAGACTCTCCTCAGACTGACTCCCCTCACACTCAAACCATCCGCCATACTGAGGATGGAGCCACTACATTACACTTCTATTTCCACATTCACTACACTAGTCCCATTTCAAAATCATTATCCATGAGATTAGACAGAGATCAAAGGTAGTTTCGATTCTTTTACCCAGACAATCTGCTAGGATATCATTAGCAACTCTACCTTATACAGAGACTTGATATACTCAGTATTTCACACATTCTGAACAATTATGTGGCTAGTGAAGTGACAGGATGAAAAATCATTGCACTGCTCTCAGTGTATTTGTAGTGTCATGGTTGGAATGCTTTTAAGTTTGCCAGCACAGATGATGGCAAGGCATTGCTCATTAATTTCTGCACAACATGTATTAATAAGTATGATCGTGTAGCAAGATGAACTTTAATTTCCCACTTCATTAAGCTCAATGTTATTAATCTTGGGGCACACGCTACGGCTAAGCTTGTTTTCAAAGCAATCATGTTGGTCATGACACACGCACAAAACCTAATAAACATAATTACTAAAACAATTCTGGGAAGGTGTTTTCCTTAGACCTCGGACTATATAATTTGCTATACTGGATGGGTTGTGTGTGGTGTGTTTGCATGCCTGCTTACGTGCATGCATTTGTTCATGTGTGCGCGAGTGTTTGCTTGTGTGAGTGTGTGTGTGTGTGTGTGTACAGTACATGTGTGTGCCCTCATGCTTGCTTGTGTATTTGAAAGTAAACTCAAAGGTGTAAATAATAAATTGTAGCCAGTTAAAATGCATATTTGTAATGATTAGTCCCTCACCAAACCGGACAGAGGCATGAGCCGCGGTATCTGCCCAGTAGTCCGAAGGGAAGGGATGAGGGGGTGAGGGGGGCTCACCTTGCAGTCCGTTGCCATTTGCGCTGGTGCAGGAAGGGGGTGGGGAGGCTTGGGGTCGGACCACAGGGGCGAAGGCGCTCTTTTGTTTAACTGCAGACAAGATATGGGGGGGGGGGGTGGGGGGGGGGGGGGGGGGGGGGGGGGGGGTAAGAACATGCTATCGGACTAAACTGGGCTGTATTCAGTGAGGTGAAACGTTCAGAACATTGCCGATAGAAATGTAAAGAATAGAGCTAACATGATTTCAATTCTCTACCTGACAGACAAGTATATCTGCCCTACACAATACATTTCTATCTGAACCTTGTGTAACTTTGCTCCCTCCTGAATGGCAGCTCTACTCACTTCCATATGGAGAGTTGGCAGAGGATCCATTGAGGAACCCAGGGGAGCTGGGCACTCCCAGGTTGGACATGCCAGAGTTCCCGTAGCCATTCATACTGTTACTGACAGTGTTGTAGCTGGACTGCTGTGGGGTGCTGCTGGTGATGTACCCTCGTGGAGACGCACTGCTGGTGTTCCGGCTGTAGCCTACTGAATAGGAGTAAGAGGATGATGGGGTGATTAGAGGTCTATAGGATTCATTCATTCTTTCATTGACTGTGAATGACTCTTGACCACTAAGCATTATTTCCACCTACCCTGGTCGTTTCCCTGTGACTCGGACACGTTGACGGCTAGCTGGCTGCTGAAGGAGTTGACTCCCATCATGCCGTGGGAGGCTGTGTTGGCGAGGGAAGGGATCTGGTTGTGGGTACGGGGAACACTGTACAGGGCCTCAGCTATGTCCGCTGCCCTCTTCAGAATGATCTCCTGTGAACATGGAGGTAGAAGTTAGAGTTATTGAGCTACTCTTTTGCCCTCAGACATCCATTATGGTTGCTTCGTTTCAAATGTTCTGTAAGGTGTGTGTGTGTCGGTCTGCATACTTGGTTATTGTGGGGCATTCCATACAGTGCTTCAACAAGGTCAGCTGCTCTCTTCAGCAATACCTCCTGATGAAAAAAAGAGGAAAGACATACATTATTGAAATGCTGATGACAGACTAAAGGTCAATATGACACTTCATGACACTGTTCAACAAACACCATGACATGTAATGTAACAATAAGAGGTATTTAATAGGTGGGTAAATAAACGTGGCCCTGTATTGAGAGGCACCAAAATTGCATTAGGCCACCAATTCTTCTCTCCTCAGAACCACTAGGTACAATGAATAATGTCCCATCTCTTAATTAAACCACCATAGGCCTTAAAAACAACACCTCACCCTCTAATTCTGGGCTCACGTTTGCACAAGTGTTCAGCACTTTAGTCTCCTTTCTTCAGAACAATAAAGTGAATTAGCTTGGGTTAATCTAGTTCTGCCGTAATGACACTAAGGAATTTTTCAATTAACCTCTGACTGGCTGTTGTAAAGGACTTCACAAATGACTTCCCATTCAGCGAGAGCTGGGTGCTTGTGCCTCTGGGACATGGATGCATGGGATGTAGTCTTATCCATGTCTGCATGCTTACCCCTGCTTCACAATAAGGATTAGTCATGTTGCTTTGGCTCTTAACACTGAAATGAGTTGGCCCTGTATCCTGTTCCCTGCTCTACTTCAGAATAGGTTGGCTTGTTAGTGTGCTTTTATCTGCTCTTTGAATTGAGCACTTAATGAAATCCTTCATGGAGCACCACAGTGCTTTGTTTAGCGTGATGCTCCAAGCAATATGTTAGGAAAACCATCTCCTCCATTTAGGAGCATTTATTCTCACAAGAAAAAAGCTTGAGATATTGATGTGGGGTTTTATTTAAATGCTTGTTTACTGTTACCTGCTGTATTGCAGCAGTTTGTTGACTTTCTGTCAGAACCCTGGTTAAAAGCGATGCAAATCTGTCACTAGAAACATCTCAGATTGCGCTTGTTTTCTTCCCACATTGCGTGTTTTCCTTCGCGGGCCTCAGTAATTTGTGTGAAGTGTTCCATCACTTGGCAATAGCAATCTGGGATTAAGACAGCAGCTGCCGTAAATGAATGTAAACACAGCCATCGTGCCTTCAAACAGCGGCCTCCAAGACTTGGCCTGTGTTTCCAAGGCAGCGTGTATGGAGTGTGTATGGAGTGTGTGTGGGCCTCCTTTCATCCTGAAGAGCCATATCTTCCTGAAGTCCTTGATTTATCAAGATGAATCGCTGTAGAAGCCATGCTAAGCCAACATATAGCTTAATCCACCAAGTTACCGCATGGGTGGCTCTCTTTAAAATGGGCATTTACCTCTGAAATTGGTGTGTATGCTCAACGGTGCATGCATCTAGTTTGCATACAAATAAAGAATTATGGTTGTCGTGAGGCAGGTACACTAAATGAGAGGACCAGCTGTCTTTATGTGTTCTCATCAGGCAGAACAGATTCCTCTCTCGTTCACTGAGTGAGATAAAGTGTAATTTCTTTGTTTCTTCCTGCAGTTAATAATTACCAATAATCTATTCTATCATATTTCAAGATCTTCTACATGCCTCTCAATTTCAAACAACAATTCAAGCAATTAAGACTGTCACGTTTGCAAGCCATTTTTCATTCTCTGAAAGCCTCCTCTCCCTCCTTGTCCATATGGTACTTTACAGCAGCAACATAAGGACAGCTTGGGAAAAAGAGAGAAAACGATATTGCCTCTCATCCTTAATCTGTCGTTTACCGCGTGGCGTCTTAACTAACCAAGCTCACTCGCAGGGCTATGCTTAAGTGGTGGCCTAGTCATATCCCAGGATGATGGGAAGTGTGGTACCCAATCAACCACGGAGTTTGTTTGGTTTCCGACTAGACACTTTCACGCGTATCGGCTCACGCTGTGAATACGATTAGCACCGAATGGTGTTCTGGGGGCATTTCCATGTAAATCTGGATACTGCTTCAGCATATAATGTAATTGCCATTCTTGTCATGGAGACATACATATCAGAGCACCATGTTAAATTGAAAACAATTAAAGCCCATAGATGATCTCCTTTGTTTTGTGACAAAGGCATGACAGCTTTTCTGGTATTCCTTGTTTTACATGGTAGCCTAAAACTTGTCTAAATGCAATCCTCCACATGCTAGATTAGCAAGGATTGTGTATTTCTATTTATGTTATCACAGTTAATAAAAGGGGGCCCAGGTTATGTAGCTTTGAGTGTTAATATCATTATAAAACTGTAAGGCAATTACCGTGCTAGCTCTAGCCTGAATACATTCAGAAGGATAGGGCCCTTAGATGTAGAATAGTCATTCATTTAAATACATTGGTAATTGCTTGACATGAACACATTTGTAATATTCGTTTTCTCCTTGTGGATTACACAAAGAATTGGAAAATAATAGGTTTGTGTTTATTTTGGAAAACAAAGAAAGAAGCGAATGCAATCAACTTAATAATAAAACAATATTGGGTTTATGCTTTTAATTTAGTAATGAATCTAATTTGTTACAGAAGAAAAGAGAAATTGAGTGTGGTATAATGTGATATCCAGTCTATTTGTCCATTACTGCCGCAGGGCACAAAATGGTATTATAAATTGTCTTCTTTATATGATGAATCGAAAATTGTTTTATAACAAGATCTTAAAAAGGAGGGTGAATTCCGAAGTCTCTGTTCACTTAACGCCATGCCCACAAACCAATCTCCTTTCGCATCACTTGACTGCTCACACTTATTACTTTCATATTCACTCTGGACTCTGCATTGGATTTTTATATCGCTGCTCCTCCCATAGGGTCAGTCTGTCATCTGTAATGTTGTCTTAAAATTACGAGGTAAACTTCAATCAGAGCACGCTTCCCCCTTTTTTCTCGGTGTAGCAACAATATTAGCGTGCATCCCTTGCAATCCATGAGCACGCCCATATTGGCTTTCTGTCTCCTCACAATTACCACGTGTCTTACTGGTCCTGGGGAAAAGGATGATGGAAATCAATAGCGCCGTAATATTATCAACTGGAGGGTGAAGTCATTGAGGGAGGGGGGCCCGGTGTCGATTTGCCTATCTGCTAATGCATACTTTGCCTCCTCCAGCTTTATCTCCTTTTTATAGTCTCTCCGCCTCACCTGCAGCCTGTAATGGCTGTTCTCTTAACGCCGTCTCCCTTCTTGTTCCAAATGTACATGCCATCCACCCTGAGGCTCGTATATTGGGAGTGTGCCGTTGACCCCTCGAGGCGACCCTCAGATGGCAAGCTTAACAATGATGAATCACTCTGTAGGATCATTTACATGGCCCCATGAACCCCATATTTGGGTCCATTAGAGAGCAAATCAAATATTTATATTATTTATTGGAAGTGCAGGGTTTCATCTCACTCTGAGATTGGGCCATGTGAGGGCTGGGGGGACACCCTGCTATCTTAAGTAACCACACTGAGGAAACTCATCTCAGATTGAGTCAAAAATGGTTTTATCGCCAAAACACATTTTGTTCTCCAAGAGGAAAAAATTGATGCTGTAATAAAGTATGCATCACAATATTCTTTGTTATGTTCAAATTGTAGATTTTACAGAGATGTACTGACTAAATTGAGTGTGTGAAGACGGAGAGACACCGGGCAGGGAGACTCGCAGCCATAAAAGCTAAGTGAACCTTTCCTTTGGTCTTTCAAATGTACTGTTGAAATTAGAGTTACTTTTCATGTCCAGGTGTTGTTTTGAGTCTCCACGGGGACCAAAGTCTAATTGAAACACTTCATATAGTGCACCAGAGACTGCAGGCTGCGATGTCGTATATATCTTCCTATTGACTTGGCCCAGTCGTCCATACTACACCACACAGCCTGGTCATTATTAAATTGTCCGTTGGACGTTAATGATATTGCAGTGTTGCATGCTGGGCTTTAATAGATAAGGTCTTAAAAGGCTTTATGGTATTATTAAAACTCTGAGGTGGTCACCAATTTACTGCATGCCAAGGGAGTCTGTGCAAACTAATCAGTCATAATATTACATTTGACGCATATGGAATGCCAGTTATACCAAATGGGAATTAGCAGGATCGCAATCAAATGAGCAGAGTAATAGATATTATCAGTGGAAATGGAAATACTGAGGAATCAAAGAATGGCTGGAATATTGTTGTCACGAGCATGTGGAAATCAAGACCCTTTCAACTCCTTTACTGAGTTATAAAGAAAACAGTGAGACCTAACGCACAATAACGTGTCACTCTGGCCTTATTAGCCACACTAAGACTGGGGGGGTTTATGAGTGTAGAGTCATGTAAACAACAGATTAAACCAAATGGAGCTGTGGAGAATGAAAGGAAAACATGAGTGGGGTAATGACGGCCCAGACGACCAGTAGATTACCATCTCTACAGACTACTGGAGAGGAAAGACGTCTGATTGAGCTATTTTGCCACACAGAAAGTTTACCACACGCCTGCCTGCCCTCTCTCTCCAGTCACTGAACAAATACATTCCCAAATCAATGCTACATGGATGCACCAGTGTGTGTGTACTGTATTTATTTTTGGTTAAAAGGTTTGATCTTCTTTTGATGTTGTTTTGTTTCTTGGTCTTTGATGATGTTGTTGGGTTAGCAGCTGTGGTGTGTGTATGGTGTTGTTTGTTGTGTCTATATGGTGTTGTTATGTCCATTTCTGTGAAGATGAGATGTAGCACTGACCTTTGGTAACCTCTCAGGGTCACCCGGGTGCCTGGGGATGACCTTCTGCAGCCTCTGGAACCCATAGTCGATGGTTGGTTCATTGAGGGCTGACAAAAAAAAATCCCAATGGTTAGACAATGTGAAGTGAAATAACGGCTCTGTTAACCAATGTCTGCAATGCAAAGCAACTAGCATGAAAACTCTATCACAAGTGTCACAAACCCCCTCCATCCAGTTAAATTCTTCATTTAGCAAAATAGCCATGATGACATGATGGAGTACATCAGTCTAGAGCAGGTCTCATATCTCTCACAGGGCCCACCTCT